CTTACAAGACCAGTTTCAATACCTGAAGGTTCTCAGGATGCTGTGTCAACCATTACTGATACTTTGATGAATTGGAAAATGATTGAGGGTGGAGTGTAAACACGTAATGTTCACAGTGTGTGAAATGACATATTTATAGACATGAGTTATGGAGAAGATTAAAAGTGATTTTTTTGTGGTTTTCGTGGTTTTTAACAAGTAAAATAAGGTGAACACTATATATGAATTAATACATTGAAAAAGTGTAAGCCTTTGCATATATTTTCTCAGTACAGGAGTTGGATTGTTAGGAAACTTACTACCATAATTAATTTTTCTGTTATTTTGTTGTAATCTAGTTGTGAAGGTAAATCTTTCACCACAAGAAAAGTTGGTACTTCGTTTGGTTGAGGGACATACATAGATTACTTTGAGTATTTGTGCTATGCTTCTACTTGTTGGTAAAAAGGAATCTGTCTTCGGCTCAAATTGGTACTATATCTCATTAAGTAATAAGAAACTTATTACCATTTTATCAGTTCATAATCTTTGCTTCTATAAGTTTGTAGTTGAAAAGATATCTTACCAATGCAGTGTTTGTTATTTTGTTTTGTTGGATCATGAACAAGCATACAGTTATTACTGTGAATAAAATGAAGTTCTCACCAGCACAAATGCTGGTGCCAAGTCCCCATTGTTTGCCTTCTATGTTTTTGTAAGTGGGAAAATAATATCTTTTCAGCACAAAAGCTGGCACTTTGTCTCATTGAACTATAAAGAAACTAAATGCCATTACTAATATATGCTCATGTAAGTTGAAATTGAAGAAAAATCTCTCATTAGCATAAAAGCTGACACTGTGCCTTACTAGCTTATGAAGAAACTTATTAATTCTATTTATTTATGTGTTTTGTTTATACTAATTAGTTGTAAGAAGAAAGTTGTCATTAAAAATTAGAAGAATAAACCATTTTTCTTAGGAAGAAAATTGAGCTTGCTTAAACTAACACTTCAAGGAAGAGTAATTTAGGACAATAGTAAAAAAACAGATAAAAAGTATGAGGCATAACCTCATGCATCAACAGGGTTACAACACAACTATATGAAACATTAACTTTGATTATGAGGGTTTAGAAACTAGTAACATATGTGGCCTTATGTTATCAGCTGTGTTATTAAATATAGTAGGAAATCCATTCATCTGTTAGTAAATCCCAGTTTGATGAAGGTTATACAGAGAGAACAAAATAATTGATGATTACCTTCCTAACTTTAAAAGAGATCAAAATCAGAGTAACTAAGCAAGCTAAGTATTGGAACTATATTTGATTTTATTATTAGCATGAATTAACTGGTTATGATAATAATGGTGGGCTGACTGACAAAAGCTAACATCCTTGATCTTGGGAAGTTTGTGGCAGTTGGCCAAGACAATATGCTATGATTATGATCACGAGACTATTGAATAGGTATCAAAATTTCTGATTAGTTGAGTTGGACAACATCGACAAAGATTAGCAACCATACTTTTAGGATGATTGTGCTGGTATCCCACAACATAAGAAATACAGAGCCTCAGTACTTTGTTAGTTTTGTTACAGTCCATGCTTTCACATCAAGTGATGCTCTATTTGAGACTGTGCATTTTGACAATAACCTTGTAGTGTAGTTTCTATTGCAAAAGTTTCCATCATGAGGTACACCCTCCTCCTTGCATGCTTTATAAAGGTAAACTGTGTAAAGATGTGAAAGTGAATGCCACCACCATGGGAAAACTTGACCCATTTCTATATCAGTGCTGCTGATTGTTCCAGTTGCAACATAAAATGGTTAGGTAGAAGCTAATTTGATAGTAAATACAATTTTAAGGAGTGTTTTTACTGAATTTCTGCTTCTTAAGCTGTTTTTTTTTGTATCCCTAGCCATTAAGATAGGACCAAGAACATTCCTCTAAGTTTTGGACTGCAACTTCACTGTTTTCTAGTGAGTGGGCAGGGCTTTTCTGGTTCCCCCATGATGTTTGTGCTGCAGTCTTTGTTGATGATGCCTCCACTCAGACATTTCTTCAGAAGGGAAGACCAAAGCATTTGTTTTGACCGTGAAATGTTTGTTCACTTTAAAGTGAACTGCCTATATTTTGCCATGCAGCAAGGTAAGCAAGGCCATCAGTTATGACTGACTGTACAGCAGGTGAAGGAGAAGCAATAGGAAGTGGTAACTACAGTTACTTAAGGTACAGAAAATTATTAGAGCTCAAGTTGGGTCTGGCCACTCACTGACAACTTGCACTGATGATTTTGGTGTTCAGCCCAGCTCCCTCAGGCTTGGTGGTGGTGCTTGATATGTGCCTGTAAAAATATGACAGCATGAGATATAATTCCTGTTTGCTACAGAAGCTGCTAGATATCAAGCACTTTGAGTAAAACTGTTGCTTTCATTCTGGTGAATGAAATACTTTGGATGTGAATGGAGAGGCATGTTTCTGACTATCTAAGACATGTCAGGCACAGAGCAAAGGTTGTTATCTCTGACTTCAGTTCTGGCATTGGAATCACTGGGATTGAGACTTCGCAGGTGAAATGAGGTACTATTGGAGAGTTACACAATGCTGGCCAGACCAGGCACAAGAACAGAGGACTGCATGAATATATATGACATGGGAAATCACCATATCTCTATATAAATAAGTAGTTTTCTGTGGTTTACTATGAACAAGGTCTAGTACATTGGTGCAATGTAGAGCCAACACATGAAAAGCACTGTTTACTGTCCAGAAACAAGTACCATTAGCTTGTACAGTAATGTGTCTGGGGAAGGATAGAATCCTAGTGTTTTTCTTTAATTATGGGCAGTTGGTTATTCAACTTTCCCTTAGAATAGCTGTTGGCATGGTAAGCAAAGTGGAGTTGACTGAGATTATCAGTACCACCTAATGTTGCCTCCATCATACTGCATTCAAGAAGGAATACATAGTTGCTAACATATTTGAAGTTGCTAGTTGAGGATATGTGCAAGCAATCTGAACTTAATGCAGTGACACAAGCTCAGTGACTTGTTGGTTGAGTGTGGCTAATGCATTTGTGGGATAAAATGACCAAGTTGGTTGAAAAACAATAACTTGTCACCATATAGATGCAGATTATGCATGCCTGATTAAACATTCCCCATGCAAACTTCCCTGGAGCACTATTTATATAATCAGTGTTGAGGTACAGTGGATGTTTAAGGACAGAATCATACAGCCTTCAGAGAGTGCATGGTAATGATTGTCTAGAAGAAGGAAGGTTTGCCAACGTTCTGTCTTGATTTTATACAGGTGAATGCAGTAACTCCCATTTACACTTTTACCCTCCCATAGACAGATAAATGCCTGGATGCATTGGAAGAAGCCTATTGGTTTTACACTTTAAACATGGTATCTGGATACTGGTAAGTTGGACTGGATGATGAAAGCAGACCTAAAACTGTTTTTGGCACCTAAGATGGTTTGTACAAGTATTGTGTCAAGCCATTCAGCCTATGTAATTCAACTGTTGCTTTTGAGAGTATATTACCATATATCAGGCACTCTTGAGTGTAACCATTGCTCCAGCTAGTTAACACTGACTACATTCTAATGAATGGTGATACTGTGGATGTGAAAAGAGAGGCATATTTTTGACTACATCTTGAAAATGTCAGTCACAGAGCAAAAGGAACTGACCTTAGTTCTGACATTGGCTTCTCTGAACACAGAACATTCCTGTATAACAGAATTCCTGTCAATAAAGTATGCTATATTGGAAGCTCCATTGTTTGCATATGTATGACTAGACTGGAAGCTCTTGTTGGATGCTAATCCCAGTGATAGGGGAATTTGAATTCTACAGTAGAAGAGATGTATGGTTTATGTAGATGATGTTTTGGTGTTTGGCCACATATGTAAGTCTGCTGCTGAAAATGTGAGCACAGCTCTTCAGCAAATAGGAAAGGCAGGCTAAAAGCTGGAAGAGAGAAGTATGCACTCATATGCATGGAGGTGTAATTTCTTGGTCATGTTGTGAGTATAGGTAAAACAAAGAAAGAATTCCTTTTAGTTGCAGTCTTTGTAAAACTACTGGTACTATTTGTATGATAGAGTTCCACGAACTTCCAGGAAGAGCAGCTGAAGGACCCAGATCTAGTGTGAATACTCCTTCCTGTTTAGCAGGGTGTGGTTTGGCCAGAGCAGATTGAGGAATGTGGTTTAAAGGCATATAACCTGTGGCACTTTTATGAGCATCTAAAAGTGCTACAGAATCATTATTAACCACTGAAAGGTGATTTTCAATCTGCTTTGCAGTTAGTGATCCCAGAATTCTGAGACAGGAAATTCTCCTGACTTGTGCTAATGGTTATTGGTAGTTCTACTGGCTACATTCCAGACTAAATGTATGATGTATGCTATATAGAGGAAAAACTGGAATATATATAAGGTAAACTTCAACATGGGATTGTTGGTTCTCCTTTATAGGGAATAGCTTTGTATATCGCTGGTCCTCTTCTGGAGAATGAATGAGGTAAGCATAGTGTGCTAATTGCTATTAATTACTTCACTAAGTGGGCCAAGGCTCATCCATTTGCAAAAATCACTCCTCCCCATCTTGTTGAGTGGTAGAAGCTGTACAGAGCAGACTGCATGGTCCTTGCTAGATTTTCCTCAGTATACTGAAATGTGTATAACTCCTCCATGTGCATTGAGGGAATTGTGTTCTGCCTCAGCACGGAATATGAATCGGGTTGTATTGAATCCAATTGAAATAGTCTTTGTTTCACTAGATGTTCTTGAATTTATTTCTACATGATACCATTTGTGGTAAGTAGATCGACTTGTGTATGGTGATATGATAACTTAATAGTTTGACTATTAGTTTTGGCAGTTGTCTTGAACAATAAATGTATTTTATTATAAAGTATTGTACTTAGCTTAGGTTGATCTGAGTGTGTATTGATATATGTTGTAGTGAAACCATCAATAGTAATCCTGTTTGACATTACCCCAGGGGCAGACTGCAAAGTGGACAGAGACCTAAGTCCTCTATAATCAAGAGGAGGACCAGTTGAGGAAGAGATCTGTCATGACCTGAGAACAACTTGTGGCATCTGTGATCAGAGTTGGTCCAAATGTATAAGGCATTGGCAGGGAGATCATCCAGTGGCAACAAAAAGTTGACCACTACACTAGAATGCCTGCTGATGGGGTTAGACTGTCGTCTGAGTAGTGTAAATATTGTAAATCACTGTTCAAACATTCTGTTTTCTTCTATTTTTATTTATGCTTTAGTGCCATTTCTGTTTTGTTTCCATTTTTTATTTAAAGGATATTTTTGTGAAATTGAAAATGCATTTCTCTTTTTTATGTTATGAATTTGTTTTGAGTTTCTCTCATATGTTTTTGTTTATTAATATTGTCTTTATTTATTGTGTAATTAAATTATGCTAATAATGACTGTGATAATGTTAGTTTTTTCATTTTCACTTCCAGTTTTATGTAATATGATTACTTATAAATATTTGCATTTGTGTATGAGCTATAATTTGTATTTTTCTTTCATTCTCAAGGGTTTATTTTGTATTGAAAAGTATTTTGTTTTCATATTTCATTTAACATTTAATGGATTCACTTTTGGCTTTGTGTAATGTGTGTTAATAGTATGCTAATTTTAATTTTGCAGTGCCAGTGCCTATTTTATATGTATATATATATATATATATATATGTGTGTGTGTGTGTTTTAGTATTATTTGCTATTTTTTTCTTATGCTAATATTTTTCAGTAGAGTAGTGAATGGTTTATTTTGTCTTTTATTTAAAATTTCCTGCATTTTATATTATGTTATTATGTACCTTTTGGAATTTTTAATGGTTGTTTTGCATTTTTTTTAGTCATGTATATTATATATGTTCTTCTTATAGTGTTATATTTTTCTTTTTGTAAGGGCGATCATATTTTGCAGTTATGATGTTTTATGTAATGTTATAGCTATAATTAAAAGAGTAATGCATATGTGTGTGTAGAAAGCTTTTTAAACTTGTTGAGTTTTAATGCTTGCCCCGGTACCAAGGTTTTAAAAGCATCATTAGATCTTGTGTTTCTTACTAGCTAAAGTTGATCAGTTTATCATTTTTATGACACTATTCAACTCAAAGTATCTTTTGTAATAGAGGTATTTGGTGGGTATCTTGTGTTGTGGAAATAGTTTAACCTCATAGTAATTGAGCACCCTGCACAGCCATCAGATTTGTTCAGAATTCTATATACTTAACCTCATATGCGAGTAGTCTATGCAGGTCACTTAAATATTTTAATTACTTTAAGTACACAGCACTGCTTTACATCTAATTAACTTTGTGCAGTCAAGCACACAATACGACAACAAAAAATATTTTGTATGCAAAGCGTGAGTTTTCCCTCTAATTCAGTATTAGATTCATTCATTTATATTAAAGGGTATTTTTCTGTGTAATCAGTGCACTTTTACAATTCAGTTTCAAAATTGAAACTGTACTTGGTAAAGGGTATTTTATTTTATAATGAGAAATTGTTTGGATTATATTTGTAAATGGTTGTGAGCTCATCCTGTCTGTGTTTTTCTGTAAGTATTTCACAGGCTCAAGAGAAGTTTACTCTATTATCTTGCACGATGCATGGATAAATTTAATTGGTTTTAAATTTTAAAGTCAGGGTTGGCCTGTAGGTATACCATATGTTTGCTATCCCAATGTTTTAATATAGAAATATTTTACATTTTTTATTTATTCTGGTGTATGCAGTTTTAACATAGAACATTGGTCAAGAAAGTTACAATATTCCTTGCACTCTAGCTACCTATTGTACTGGGTCATTCACCAAAACTACCACCTTCATTTTCCCATGGGAAAGATTCCTGTAAAGTTCTATATACTATGTGATGGTAAACCATTGTGTTTTCCACTGGTTGGTCAGGTGATACCTGGAGGATATAATCTTCCCTATTTTTAATGGGAGTAACCAACAGTCACGTGTTTAGTACATGCACCCATATAAGACTAATGTTGTTCAGCATATATATATATATATAATGATATGCTTTCTCAGTCTGGGACACACATCCTATAAACAACAAAAGATAGTGCTCTTCCTCAATACGCACTTTAATTGTTTTCGAGTGTAGAGTAAAGATTGTTTCTGTTTGTCATACATTGTGACCAGTCTATTTCATTATTAAATCTTAGCCAAAGCCAGATAATTAAAATTTACTTCTTAATACATTTTCTGTCAGAAATCCACTGTATCACTCTTGAGGGAAATAAAAGCACCAGAAAATAACATTACCTTTATTTTTTTAAATCTAAATTTCATTTGTAGTAAATAGCCTTTGTTGCCTTCCTCTTTAAAATCCCAAAACAATTCATTCTAGTAGAGATACTCCTAAACTTGTGGTGTCACTCAAGTTATATCTATCTGTAAATCTGGCCGTTTACTTTTATTAGAACTATTCCTAAACTTGTTGTATTACTCTAATAACAATTGCGGACTTACAATACTAAAATCCGGGTTTTCGATTCCCTGCAGTGGATAGCAGATAGCCCACTGTGGCGTTGCTTTTAAACAAAGAAACAAATGAATTACAGATTCTTGTATATTTGTGGTTTCGCCTTGTTTCAATACTTTTAGTGAAATTCTGATTACATCTACTTTTATACTTTTGATGGTACTAAGCATAGATACTGTTGAAAAGTTTATCAGTTTAAGCGCCATTAATTAGTACGCATGAAAAATAAAATGATCAAACAATATTAAACTAAGGGCTGATTTCACTTTCCACGCGTATAAGTGTCTTTTAAAATAATCTTTTTTGTGTTTGTGATATCCAAGATAATCTCAATGTTAATCACTGGAAAAATTAACGGTATAAAACTAATTATTGGTAAAAAGGTGTCACCTCCATATAGCTTCAGAAATGTAACTGAAAAGCCAAACTAAATTAAGTTGATTGGTTTCTGTTTCAGATTTACAACTCATTAGAACCACGGCTTTGCAGTTTCATAAACAAAGCTTGGCTGTGTTGCGTCAGCGAGATCACGTGACTAGTGTCACGCCCCCT